CGCTGCCCCCGCCGCCTCCGGCCTGGGACGGGTTTTGCCCGGCGAGAAAGGCAGCCGCGCTTCTCCTCTCCGCGAAGGTTTTCACGCGCGGGTGCTCCCGCCCCGACAGTCCATCCCTCCGCGGGTCGATTAAAAGGCCACCGATTTGTTAGCAAGTTCAACAAGCCGTTTTCTCCGGTCATCTGGCCATGTAATTATTTCTTCTTGCTTTCCTCAAATGAGGTTTTGCTGCTCATGCACAAAGCAGGCTCCGATAGGGCAGACTGCCTGAGGGCTTCAGGCTTCGGGAAACGTGTCTCCGGTGGCTGTGGCTTGCCTCTCCCACCCCGTCCCCTTACTTCAGCTCCCAAAATTGTGCGGCAAGAATGAGGGCTCTTTTAAAACAGGCAATGACAGTTGGGAGACTGCAAAACAGCCCAAGTTGGTAGCGACCGAAAGTTGTTATTATCCGCCGGCATCCATGAAATTAATCCACATCACCGAAACTGCTTCCAGCTGGCGTCCTCCCTCCTCGCCCTGCTAAGCAGGCGTCTGCCGGCCGAAGGGGCTTTGCGCCGGCCCTCCAGGCGGCTCGGCTGCGTCCCGGGGACCGTGGTGCGCGGATCCGCTCGCCATACGCTCTCCGTTAACAATAAATTAATCTGCCGGTGACCGCTCTCAAGAAGGGGCGGCAGATGCAGTTTCACAAGTTTCCCGTGGATCTGAGCCTTTTAGTGCCGGTGAAAGGGTTTGCTCCCGCAGGGCGGAGGGAACCTGAAGCGATAACGCGCAGGCTTGAAATAACGCATGGAGAAAGGCAGAGAAAGGGTTGAGGTCTGAGAACGCAGGTTGGCTCCTAGGAGGCATGCATGCATCAGTACGTCCTGCTAGAGATGGTGATGTGATAAACTATTTCCACTAGTTGCTTGTTTTAAATGAAGTTACTGTAACTGAGGGCAACACTTCAGTGCAGTATATGTAACTTGTAAAAACAATACCGTGGTTCAATTGGTTTGTGTGTGTGTGCGTGCGTGTGGCCGTTTTTTATTAGAAGACATGAAAAATAGGTGGTTTTGTGGGCCCTTAAAATACAGCGAAAGGAGGTCAGGGGACAGTAGAAGTAACGGCCTAATGTTGAATAAAAATAAATCGCATACCCTCTCATTTTGCATCCCTGCTGTGCTTTAAATGTAAGTGTAAACCAGGCTGCAAGAGTGAAACTCATGTTTCACTTCTAATGTCACCATGATTAAATTGCAAAAATGACTTGCATGGATTGTTTTTGAGACGGATGCTTTTGGCTTCAGCCACTGACAGAATAACTCGGTTCTTCCCTCATTTATGCTGGCTCACTTGGCTAATGTCAGTGGGTTTGTTCTCATGGATTTACACCAGTGTCAGGAATGAGTCGAGCCCAAGAACATCCTCGAAAGGGTATCTGAGCTCATCTCGCCTCCAGCAGCAGGA